GCGACCATTGAAATTATGTCATGATGTAATGTGGAAAATCATTAAAATCACTTACATAATCATATTCATATATTGGTTAAACCATTTTTCATTTTATAATGTTTTAAACATAGATTGAATTTGACTTCAATTAAAATACTCTGTTTGTATATGGTTTAGGCAAATGATAGAGTGGATGGAGGGGGTGGTAGTCTGGAATGAGATCAATTTAAGTAATATATATTTTGCTTAGGAGCATACATTTGGGCATTTCATGACTCGTAAATAAGAAGAAGTATCATGCGAAATTCAAAACAATAAGTCATTTCCTCTAAGTAGAGAGAAGTTAGTTTAAATAAAATCAAAATGTTGAAGGCAGTATTATGAAAGGTTTGTTGTGCAGTTTTTTATTCTTTATCATGATTAAGATTGACTGCTTGGTTGAGAGTTGAAACTCCTAATGAATGTACCATATCCTTAAATGTGCGTAAAATACGCTAAAGAGACCATTTTATTCGGATTTTGTAATATATGAGAAAACTGCTTTGTACTTATACTATTTCACATGTTGTACTTAACAGCAACCGTATTCTGATACGCTAAGATGGTTCACCATCAATGACTTAAACTGTCTTAAGTGTTTGTCATACGTTATAATGCACGCTTCCGAAACACTTCTTCATTCGCCAAGTTGATGTGAGATATACGATACCTATAAACAATTTTTTTGTTCGAATAAGACGATGTGTCTATAAGCGTGATTGTTGTTAAAATAAAACTGCGGATTGAAATAAATATATATATACGGATTCTAAAATGGCAAAGTATAGTTTTGAAACGAAGAAAATCGCCCCGTTTACTGAGGTGGATTATGCGCTTTTCGGACTTATGCTGGCGGGGTCGGCGTTTATTGGAATATTTTATGCCATTAAAGACAGAAAGAGAAATAATACGAAGGAGTTTCTTTTAGCCGGTGGGAAAATGAATCCCATCCCCGTCGCTTTGTCGATTCTTGCAAGTTTTATGTCGGCAATTACTTTATTAGGAACGCCGGCGGAAATGTACAATTTTACGACAATGTATTGGTATATAGGTCTCGGGTACCTTCTGGTGGTTGCGGCCGCGGCTCATCTGTTTATACCGGTATTCTACCGGCTGAGGGTAACCAGCGCTTATGAGGTACGTTATGTTAAGTATACAGAACAGTTAACCTTTTATCAGGGTGGTTTACTGTTTTATTCTACTGTATATGCACAGCAACAGTTAAATGTTATAAATTGCATCGTGAACAGATTTAAATACCTACTGATAAAACATCACAGAGCCATCGTATCATTCTTCATTAAACTATACTCGTATAAAGTTCGTAACGGCTTATCAATTCCAGAAAGTAATACTTTAGGTACCTCCCCGTTGGGGCCGCGCAGTCTGATCAGGATCCATGCTGTTCGCTTACAAATCCTATTACAAGTACAGATATTGATAGCGAACATCATGGATCCTGATCAGACTGCGCGGATGCGCAGGCTGGTCTGGATCCATGCTGGTCACAAACCCATTATGTTGGTTTTGTCATGGCACGGCTCATTATTATTTTGATGAATCTGTCAGACGCAGTGTACGTTATATGTACACATGCGTTTGTTTATATTTTCCTGTGCATGTTGTTTGACGACACAGACTCTAAAATTGAAAAAGTAAGCCTCATATTATTTCCAACTTTACAAATATTAATGTAATTCGATTTACATAAATATCAAATCAAATAAAGCGTAAAGCACAGTGTACCTCCTTCAGTGTCATGTAGCGTATGTTATCATACATTTTATCATAATTAATTCATGTTTTCTAAAATGAAAATTGTCAAATCAGTGTCATTTATGAAAGTAAAATAAACACGAGCATGTTAGAAGGACAGATTTCATATCAAATGTCCAATATCAATTTTCATTTGTGATTAGATTTTGGACTTTAAAGCGGCACAATTCCAGATTCATGTAATTTTTCATGAAGATTAAGAAAGTGTCCGAAAATACTAAATGTCATACTTTGTGACACAATTGTTTATACAATATTTAGTTTGAGGTTGCCAGTAGGATTTCTAGAACTGTTATGTTTATGAAAATATTAACTAATTGCATATCTTAACATTCTTATTGTGAACAATTGATTTTCTATTACATGATAAGTATAACATTGTATTTTATGTTATCACGATCACGTGACGTAATAATTGTTTGATTTTATCTACATGTATTTGAATGGCGATGTACTATGTACAAGTCTAAACGAAAAAAGTATGTTCTGTTCTGTTCTGTTCTGCAAAAATGCGTAACAATAGCTTCAACAACATGAACCTTAGTAACTCTGTGGCTTAAATTCTGAAACTTAAAACTTTGATACTGTTTGTACGTGAATACTCGGACTGAGTTTGTTATCTACTGAACTAATTCGATTGAGGGTCAAACGTTTCACACATCTTAATTTCTAATTAATTACTGATCATGTCAAGGGTCAAGCCGAGGCTATGTTGCGCAATTAGTTAACTTACGTAAAACACCGAAGGAAATTAACCTGGTGAACATTTTATTCGTCTACAAATAACGGGACGTAACTCGTGCTATTACATCAAATAGCGTATCCATGACTATCAGATTTCTCAGAGCATTCTTTAAGCGTTCAACGTGCCATGATATATGTCTATTGAAACGTCGTCGCGAACGTTTTTATCCGGTGCTTATTTTCTAATATTCTTTACCAGTAAGCGAAGTTGTGATTTGAAAATAAAATAATAAAAGACTTATGATCGAATCATAATTATAAATAAAGTTTTGCTTTATCTTGACTGGTTTGGTTGACCACTTTAATGGCAAGTATGAAATTAGATTGTATGCCATTTTCGATATTATGGTTTCATTAGGTATCAACGTACGTTTTGTTTGTTCAGTGTTCAGCACTTCCAGTAGTGGTGTTTGTCCAACTTAATTAAACATATAATGTCAACAAGGTTGATATTACAATTATAGCGTAGCGTTTCTTATGCGTTGCTACCCTGGTCCCAAAGACCCCACAGAATGGAATAGCAGGGACTTTGGGTTTTTGACCAACATATCCTCAGAAAAGTGATGGTAAAAAGATGGTATAAATCTCCGCAAAATGTCCTTGCTCTGCGAGTCGCAAAATAGCTCAGCCTTATGTTCTTGCGAACCAAAACAAAACTTCCTTGCTGGGACAGACAAAACGTAATAACTTGGCACGTGTCCCCCAGGTGATGTCCCCCAGATGTACCGGAGGTACAATTGACTTTTTCGCCACTGCTGAAAAAGGAGCAGGAATGTTTATGTTCAAGTCATATTGTTTCTTAAAAACGTGTGAAATCATGAAATGAAAATTCTAAAATGTTAGGAGTTTTATATAGACTTGAGCATCAGAGTTACGCCATTTTTCAGCTTGGTCTAGATTTTTATACATTTGATATAGACTTTTTAAATAACACAGGCTTGTCCCACGGGCTCGCCCAAAACTGGTTTAATGTTTGTCCATTTGAATTGACTTTATTTGTTGTAACTGTTTGCTACTTGCTATTGATTTTGATCATTCTTTCAAATACTTGAAGATATTTCTTAATTAATCAGGTAGGTATTCAAAACAACATAACAGAAAATGATGAACAATCTATATAAATTTATGTATGTACGTATATTCGACTTCTAGTTCTAGATCACTTTTGAAATTGTTTTCTTTGAGATATAAATTGCAACAAAATATTACGTATAGCTGTTAAACATGGAAACAACTTGAATAAAAAAAAATAAAACTTGTATATAAAACATTCTAAGAAATAATTTGCGCAGTTTATATCAAAGAATGTTTCCTGATTTATATCAGCTATAAAAACCTACACCAAATGCATATAACTGTTCCTATTATTAGAATAAGATTTATTATGAATACATTTATTTGTTTTCTTAGAAGGAAATAATTCATACTGTAATTTTAACTTGCAATTATGGAAATACATAAACCGCAAGCGTGATTACTAGTGTTTTTGCTTAATTTGATTATTTATTGTACTTTTCAAAATTAAAATTACAACAAAGAATAAGAGAATAATAGATTGTTGAATCTCTTATTCTTTGTTGTACATTCAAAGAGCTTACATCTAACCGCAACATTTTTGTATCTTTATCTTGAAAATTACTTTTACTGGAGAGGAATTGATATAAGTATTGTTTTACTTGTTTTCCAAGCCAGTCTGAATTACATTGTTGTGCAATGTTTGTAAATGTCATTTATGTACAATTTATTGAATAAATAAAGTTTAAACTAAAATTAAAATTAAGTGAAAGCACGAAGACATAGACATGTATCGCTATAGATTATGACAAAAAATAAAAAAGGAGGTTCGAAAGTGATTTGTCTTAACATTTTGCTTTCTGCTAACAACTGTTTTATTCCCTTTGCCGGTAAATCGTGAAAAAAGTCAATGCACCTCGTTTTTATATAAGAAAATGTCAAGAGAGTTTCGATATATTTGTTTTCCCGTTTGATTTCTTATTAAAGTGCGGGGTGTGGGGGGTTTTAAATTAAAAATTGTTTGATACTGTCATATATAATTATTAGTGTAAGGGTTTTAATATGCGACACTTAAACCCCTTAAAACATTTGAGACAATGCTGACTTAGAAACAATTTTCATGTGAGATCATAAATGAGCCGTGTCACGACAAAACCAACATACTGCGTTTGCGACCAGCATGGATTCAGGCCAGCCTGCGCATCCGCGCAGTCTGATCAGGATCCATGCTGTTCGCTATCAGTTTCTCTACTTGTAATAGAGTCGGTTAGCGAACGGCTTTGATCCAGATCAGACTGCGCGGATGCGCAGGCTGGTCTGGATCCATGCTGGTCGCAAACTCATTATGTTTGTTTTGTCGTGACACGGCTCATTTATCTACTTTTATTATTATTATTGTTGCTGTTATTTTTATATTTAACACCATGTTGTTTGTATATTTTCAGTATCTACAGCACAGATTCAGCAAAGGTGTCCGAACTGCTGGGTCATTGACCTTCTGTACACAAATGGTAATGATTAAATATCAAGTTTATGTAAATTTTCTAGAAGTAATAAATAAGTTATTCTTTAAGAGCCCGTGCAAAGGCTTTCTAACTTGAGAACTAACACTATCTCTAGTTTAGTTAGTTTGTTATTTAGTTGATTGGTTTGATGGGTTTGATGGGTTGGTTGGTTGGTTGGTTGGTTGGTTGGTTGTTGGTTGGTTGGTTGGTTGGTTGGTTCGTTCGTTCGTTCGTTCGTTCGTTCGTTCGTTTGTTTGTTTGCATTTGATCTGAATATAAAAGCCGTCCCCGATGAAGGACAATTGAAAAAAAACTCTGTCGATTTAAGAATTTACTTTATCAATTTTATGCCTATGTTACAAAACTGAATAAATTATATTCTAGTGAGATATTGAACGTTTCAAATATTTGTAAACTAATAAAAATTTCAGATACTATCAAATGAAATCTGATTTTATACGGAACACTTGGATCAGAAAATTTAAGATTAAATATTCCAGAAATAGGCCAAGAGGCAATACCAACGTAACTAGGAAACTATATATTGAACTAATGTGTGTCGAGTTTGATATTAGTTTTATATCATCTGATATGTTACAATTCAACTAAGTTCATAACTTTATCTTACTTTAAACATTAGAGTGCTGTTACGATACTAAATATACAAAATTATTTAAACATTGATCGACCGCCTCCGTGGTCGAGGGGCTAGAGTCGATGACTTGTAATCCAGTTACCTCTCTGGCGTGGGTTCGATCCCCGGGAGATGCTTTGGTAGTTTAGCATGGAGGAAGGTAGTCTAGCTAGTACTGATGTAACTCTCCAGGAACGATGGTTAGGAAACTACCCGCCTATATGACTGAAATACTGTTGGGGAAAGGCGTAAAATGAAACAAACAAACAAACATTGATCGAAAACACTTATAGTTGAACCGCTATTCTACTATGAATATAGAAGAGTTATAGTCTAGAGTATGACGAAACATGAACTCTAAAAATTGTAAAATTCAGTAGCCATTTGTAATGATAATGACTAGATTATAACCTAGAGGCCTAGGTGTGCCATTCCTTTAATTAAGATAAGGTTATAACGTTTAAGCTTACCTTGCACAAAATCATCCTCCGTACGTCTGTTCACATTTTTCTTCAAATCGACATCTCTGATATTACTAGACCAATGTTAATGAAATTTGTGCAATGGAAAGTAAACTATTGTCATATTATTATAACATCTTCTATAACCGCGCGTTCCAAAGCTCTAATATTTCGACTAAAGCTTTACCTGGTCAAGTTGTGGTCCTCTACAAAAAGATATTCAGTTTATGGCCCTGTAGTGAAAAGTGTCTCCTCTATTTTAAGTATTTTTACATATACCTATACAAAATAAAAAGAGTCCCACGCGCTTTTCATTTTGCATGTACATTACATAATGTAATATTATATAAAACATACCTAAATTTTGTTATGTTTAACAACAAAATATAGAGCTTCAATATTTAGCATTTACGGTGCATTATTGAGGGGCTAAGTTGCATTAAGTATTCCCTGTGCTTCAAAACTGAGTTCTAGGATCACTTGATACATTGGTAAAGAAATCTATTGATATAAAATTTTGAGAAATAAGGTACAAGGTATTACTAAGATAGCCTACTACGTCTCATAAATGTGCCAACTACTTCTCATAAATGTGACCTACTATTTCTCATAAATGAGACGTACGACTTCTCATAAATGTGATGTACTACTTCGCATAAAAGTGACGTATTACTTCTCATAAATATAACTTACTACGTCTCATAAATGTGACCTACTATTTCTCATAAATGTCACGTACGACTGCTCATAAATGTCACGTACGACTGCTCATAAATGTGACTTACTACTTCTCATAAACGTGACGTACTACTTCTCATAGACGATACATTTGTTTGTACACAGATCAGGGGCGGTAACTGCCACAGATTATTTGCTTAAATTCATTGAACGAGATTCTTACTAAGAAGTGGATGAAGTAAATTAAAAAAAAATGTCAGTGCTGTTGAATTTATTTATCCTAAGGTATAATTTTTCAGCATGAACCAAGTGAAATGGTATAGTTGTTATTTACACAGATCAGTTGTATTTAAATTTATCTGCTGGTTACGCAGTGTTCTTAAATAAAGATTATCCTAATTGACTAGATTTTGACATATATCAACCTTGTTTGAGCATTTTTTGCAGTGATAAGTGTTTTCTTACAAGTTATTTTCAAACTGATTGCATTTACTTGATACTTCATCAATCTCCCTATAGAAATCCCTCAATTTCAGACAACAAGCAGCGTTTGTTTGTTTGTTTTTTCGTTCGTTCATTTGTTTGTTGGGAGATGGGGTTGGAAAAACAAAACTGGCATGTTCTTTTTTCCACAAGTTATCGTAGTATTTGTTTGAAATAGTGTTGGAGCAGCGTGCATTTTATAATACGACTCGTATAGCACGTTTGTAATGTCGCTTTTAATTGGGTAATCGTAACGTTTATAATAAGGGAATTATATACACCGCTGCTGTCAAATTATCAAGTAAATTCGTTTTTTGTCAAATAAAGGAAGTTTGCTGTATAAAGATTCGTGACCATATTATATGGCCATGTATGAATGTTTTTGCAATATAAGCGGCTCGAGTTATATATGTAAACAGCCATTAAATCGTCAAAAGAAATTATTTGTGCCACGCCAAGAAGTCTATCTCACGAACGATCTACCTTTTAAACGAACCAATGCTGAGACGTTTTAATTTTACTTGAAGTCTATTGTTGCTGTTGTTGTTGTTGTTGTTGTTTTATACCTTCCGTTCGTTTCATGCTTTCTTTTCGTGTTTCATTTCAGATATTGTACATGGCGATTGTCCTATACGCCCCGTCATTGGCTCTTAATGCAGGTAACTTAGTTTGTTTACTTTACAACGAGTAGATAATAATTCATTTTAAACAAATTACATTGAACTTTTTGTCCTTAAAAATACTTACAGCTAGTAAGTTGACTTTTATTACCTGTTATACATAAAATGTATCTTCATAATTATGAAAAATTCATGCATTGTTGAATTCACATGTAATGGATTAACCGTGACTTTTTAACATCTATACATATCCAAGTCTACATTTTAAAGGCCCATTATGCCCCCAGAAATGATTTTATTTATATTTCAAGCTTTCTTTGGTGTACTTTTATAGTCTCCGAAAAGTTACTCATTGGCTATTTTTTTTCAAATTTTGCTTTTTGGCAATAAGTATACTTAAGTTATAGTGAATTAGTATTTTATATGGAAGTCCAAATACTTCTTTGATTACATTTTGCTACTTTTATGACAAATTATTACACATTAATCGCTACTTTCTTCATGTTAAAAACATCTAACATTTCTAAAACCATTAGTTCATCATAATAAAATTCATGTTTGCCCTTTGTAAAGAAGAAAGGGTCAACTCTCTAATGTTGATAAAACTTGAGTTCCGCCCCTCCCCCTAAAAGGTGAGTTACAGTTTTGACCCTGTTGGAGGACAACTGCGCATGACACTGATAAAATCGTCATAATATATAATTCCGCCAGTTTTATTGAAGTTGTGATTACCTGTTTCAAAAACCTTTTTTTACAAATCATTAATATTCATTAAACACGTTGGATGGTGTTTTTTTTTCTTTAGATTCTTTTTGAACTGACTGGGACATAAGATAACATTATCAAGGTGAAGAAACGAACTATTTTTTCTCTGGTATGATTGAATCTACGTATATATCATCCTTAAAGTGTAATTAAGCCTTTTTTCCATTATGCTTTTGTATAAATTTATGTATTAATACTCCTGATGATAATCGCTAATATTTTTTATATAAATTATTGAAAGTATCTATATCATCATATAATTTACTGCAAGTCTGCAATTCAATGAAATATGGGTTATTGCGATGACTAGCAGCTGTTAGACCTAATTCCGACCACTGTATCATGTATTGCAAGTTTATTAAACTCAACTCGTGTAATCTTTTTGCGATCACGGGAAGTAGTTTAAAATCTCACGGGTTTCACCGATATCGGAACACGTGCATAATCAATTCGTTTGCAAATCAGTGCAGCAGCCTCGATCAATGACATTGATTATAATTATGTAAAAAATCACAGATTTAATGATTGTGCATTTTACAAATCACTGATAAGACAGATCGTGTTTGTTGTGATTAATGGCTTATCACCTACACGTGCTTTTAACTCTGTCTGTCGTTAAGTGGATATTAATAAATGTAAACAGATCTAGATATCCGACTTGTTGTTGTCTAGGTGTTACAAGTCAATTTAAACAATTTTTTCCAACCGACTGAGGTCTTGTGCGCAACAAAACATGTCAATTACAACCGACTTTGAAACAGTATCGCTCTGTTACGTATCAAATAAGGCTGATAAAACACAGAAAACAAGAAGAATCTTTAAAAAAAAGATACTCGGCCGAACTAAAACTGGTTTATTTGCATATATTATCTTAGGAAACATGGAAAAAGAATAATAAGAATTATGATGTTGAGTCTAGTACTGAATTTTACGATATTAAAATCATATGCATATGTTGGTAAATACCATGTATTTTAATAGAAACAAAATCTTTAGTCTGAAGTAAATCCTTTAAAAGTTAAGAAGATGTAAATAAGAACTACAAACAAAACAATTTATTTTGTACTCGTCTCAGTTCATTTTTACCGTCATGTGATTTTTTATTTCTATTATAGTAAACGTCGTTTCAGCTCAAAGAAAAACATTAAATTTTAAGTTAGTGAAGTTTGTTTCAATCGAAATTTTAATTAAAAGTTTACAAATTACAACGTTTTGCAACACCTTTGGAAATAACGAAAGAAAGCTAAAATCCGGAAAAGAACCAAAAGAGAGCCTCCTTATCTAAAATACTTTGGCAAACATTTATTATATCGTTAGTTGTTAAATCAATACTCCATAAATATGTAAAATACATGAAAATTATAAAATTTGTTATATAACTGATAATACCAGATAAATTCGTTCGTTTTTCTTGTGTGCTTTTCGCTATTTTCATGCACATGAGTAAACGGGAAAGTGGACGTAGTTGAAAGTGGTGATTTTCACTAACGTGTGACAAAATCTATAACTCGATCGTGAAAAAAACGTACAATAATCCGTAGGATACATGGAAATATAGACCTTATAATGTGTAGGAGAAGGCATGGTTAAACAGAACTTAAGTATCTGAAATTTAAAGTTGTACTAAGGTCATCCTTGGGTAAAATAATTGAATCCAAGAAATGAATTTATTATTGAATATTTCTAATTTAAATAAAAGAATTAATAAACTGTGTATGAGACGCTGCGTTACCTATTACGGGACAAGTAAAGTTGATCCTTTCTTTAAAAAAAACTGCCAGTTTTTTAATGACACAATATATTTTTATTGTGACCAATTGTACTAGTGTATAGAACTTTAAACATGACATATCTACTTTGTATCAAGTATTTTATTTAAACAAAGAAACTTTGTAGCAATTATAAAAAATAATATAAAATTTGAGCATAGTATATGTTTAAATTGATAGTAAAAGAACTTATGAATGTAGATATTTCGTTTCAAAACTCCTTCCTTAAGATCAATCAAAATTTAGACGCATGTATCTTTATGTTACTAAATGAGTCGTCTCTCCAGACAACACTGCAAATTGCGTAAGGGTTCTAAAGGGAGGTTACTGTTGAGCTAAAAATAAAGTCAGTTACAGTAACTTCCCATGATATTACTGCAAATGGGTAAGGGTTCCACAGGAAGGTCATTATTGCGCAAAAATAGAGTCAGTTAGAGTGACCATTACTGTAAACATTGCAAATGGCGTGAGGGTTCAAAAGGGAGGTAACTGTTGTGTTCGTTATATAAGAGTCGTTAAGAATGACCTCCCCTGAAAAAAATGCATTTGGCGTAAGGGTTGAAAGTGAGGTAACTGTTGCGTTTTGAAGAGGGTTGATTAGAATAATCTCCCTTGATGAAAATGCAAATGGCATAAGGGTTCAAAGAGAGGTAACTGTTGCACTCAAAAAAGAGTCAGTTAGAATGACCTCCCCTTAAAACATTGAAAATGGTGTAAAAGTTCAAAAGGGAGGTTACTGTTGCGCTAAAACTATTCAGTTAGAGTGATCTCCCCTGAAAACATTGAAAATGGCGCAAGGCTTTGAAAGGGAGGTAACTGTCGGGCTGAAAAAAAGTCGATTAGAGTGACCTCTGGAAACATTGCAAAGGGGGGGGTAACTGTTGCGTTGAAAAAAGTTATTAGAGTGACCTTCCCTGATAACATTACAAATAGCGTAAGGGTTCAAAAGGAGGTTACTGTTGTGCTAATAAAGAGTCGGTTACAGTGACCTCCCTTGAAAACATTGCAACTGGCGTAAGGGTTTTATAGGGAGGTTACTGTTGTGTTTAAAAAGAGTTAGTTAGAATGACCTCCCCTGAAGGGTTCAAATGACGGTAACTGTTGCTTTTTTTTTTTTGAAAAAAGAGTTGATTAGAGTGACCTCCCCTTGATAACATTGAAAATGGCATAAACGCCTTTGTTGACGTTCTCAATATATTAGAGATTTTCGACCATGCGACCACATACATGCATCGAGGACATGTTTGAAGGAAAGTGACCGTGCGACCACATACACGCATCACAGGATTCCCCTTCTCTTACGAGAAAGGGACAAAAAGATATCCGCCCTTCTATTAAAGGGCAGACTTTAAAAATCGCCTTTGCCTTATGTTATTGATAAGGAGGCTAATTTTCTCAAATATGTTTTGTATTGGTTTATATACAACATTAATAACGCAAACCAAGCGGGTTATCAGTTTACGTCTTTTTAAGTCCGCTATGAAATTTTAAAAAAATCTTATATAACTTCTTGGAAAATTTTTAGTTTTAAGTTTTTTCTACTTCTCATTTTATGTATATAACAGAATTATTTCAATTTTGCAAAACATGAACGTTTTAAAAACGTTTTATATGCGTTAAATATTGGAGATAAATTTCACACGTTATTTTCACATATTAACCTGGGGGCATTTTGGCCGAAGTACCAAGGTCATAACTTAAGCCTATGTTTAACAATGCGAAAAAATAGGTAAAGCAGACTTATGACACACAAAATAAAACGTGCCTTGATAGCGGAGTAGGCAGAGCTTCCGTGTCAGTTTAGATGCTCTTATCATAGTTAGGTACCATTACATTTAAGTATTTTATGTATATTTTTCTTATTTGAGCAGGTTTTTTTTCAAATAGTTACTAATGCATGAGATAGAATATTTTTGTACACATGTTGATATGCAGCAGAGACATAGATATCTATGTCTCTGTATGCAGTTGACTTAAGTTTGGGGAAAACGTCAGACATCGGGAAAAAGCATTATCAGAAATGTAAGAAATATAATGAAATGAAGTGTGTTCTATATTGATCAATATATTCAAATTATTAATATTTCGAAATCGTAGTGTGTTTAAAATTGCTTGATTTTTAAAATGTTAAATAGAATTTTTTTTTAAAAAATCACTTGAAATGTAGTTAGTTTCTAAAATGTGGAACAAAAATGAAATAAAGAGAAAACATAAAATAGAAATAGAAATTTATAAGAACCAAATATATGTATATTCAAATGATCATACAAAAGACAGACAAAATGAAAAAAGGGAGAAAAACAACAACAACAGCATCATAGTAACATGGCAGAGCGATGGGTTCAAATATATAAGTGCAAATCATTAAAAGTTACTGTGACGTTGATTTACCAAAGGAGCTTCTATACGAGGGTACACATTTTTTTAGAGTTTAACTATATATAGTTGTTGACACTTTCAATCTCGAATAATATGCAGACTTATACTTTATTGGACTTTCCCAAGTACCGTTAAGACCAAATTATCACCACAGGACAATATGGACAATACCTATTTAATTTCTGTATTCGACTTATTTTATTTGAAAAAGAAAAGGTATCTTGATGGGCTGCAAGAAAAAAATAGATTAAACTTGAGCAACACGCAAATATGACACTGGTAAGACTACATACATGTATTTGCAAGTCTTATCATACCTGCTAAATTTGATCGTTACAAAAGTATAAAGTAGGCCTAAAAGTTGCGATCATGCAGTCACGCAGACCTTCATCCGTGTGACGTCATTTAACGAATTCCCTTCCAAAAGAGATACCTTATTTTCAGCTACATCTACCCTTCTTACCGTAATCTGACGCAAAACACCTTAAACACATTTTATTCAACAATGCTTACAATTTACATACTAAGTAATGAAACAACATTACCATAAGTTTAAAATTTCTACTGGAAGCTATCATCTTACAATATCAGCGTCTATCAGTTTTGGATATTTACTAATTTATTAATCAAGTATAAGATAATTGCACATTTTAAATGTGACCTCAATGGGAAACTTATTTATCGCTGATTTGCTGATCTGCAAGACCCCTACCAGCTTGAGTGGCAGGCGGCGTAATGTCAATTTAGGCATAAAGGCATAGATCGTTGAACTAGATCTATAGTCCTGCATCACTGTATTAAATCTTATCACCAGGATATAAACAGCTATTTTCTGAAGAAAAAACGAATTTAAAAAAGAAAGGAAAAAAGAAAAAGAAAGTTTCTAGTCTACGTATGCGCAGGACACAAGGAATGAAGAACAATATCAAAGTAATGTTTTAAATTGACATTAACCTGCTCAAGTTGTTAAATGGATATACCCAGCTTAACATTTGGAAAAAACCATTAAGAGTTTTACGGGGGTTTTAATATTAAAGTACAAAGCTGGAGCTACCAGCCTGGTCAGACTGCATGGACTTGTTCTATACTGGTGGCAAATGCTATTCACTTCGGGTTGTTATGAATGTTATCTTTTCCGGTTGTTATGAATGTCATATAATTTTTGTTGTTGTTTCTTTTTTTCAGTAACCGGCTTTCCACTGTGGACAGCTATCATAACAGTTGGAATCGTCTGTACATTTTACACAGCACTGGTAATATAATAATTTACCATCATTCGGTTCCATAATTATCGCTTCCATTTTTAATGATTAAGATATAATTATTAAAAAATATCAATAATAGGAATCCAATAGCAATGTAAATTAATGTATTATAAATGTCAAATTAGAATATATTAAACTTCAAGAATTTACATACACATGTATGAGAAAGCGAAGACGGAAATCTCAATCATTTTTTTTCTGACATCAGTGTATAGAACTACTTTAATTACTGCAGAATTATTACTCTGCATGAATAAGAAGGACCTAATCACACAGTAACTGATTTACATAACCCAGAGTTTCAAGACCTTTTTTTGATTCTCGCCAGCTTTCAAAATGGGTACATATCAATATGAAATTTAAAAAAAAAACCGTTTAGTTGTTCTCTTCTTGCAAAACAAAAAGATTTGGTTAGAAATATCGGTTACAAAATCAAAGTCTAGTATTTTTGCAGGGTGGTCTAAAAGCTGTATTATGGACGGATACGTTCCAGGTAGGTGTCATGTTTGCCGGATTGTTCGCTATTGTTATTAAGGGAATGTCAGATGTAGGTGGACTCAAAGAAGCATGGCACAATTTTGATGCAAGTGGTCGCGTGGACTGGGACGAGTAAGTGATATCTTATTCATGTATCTAACTGACCTGGTTAGTAGACTTATAATAAAACATAAATTATCATGATTGTTTACTAGAAAGTTCGGTTTATATAGAAACATAAATATTTATATCATAAGCCTATACAAACACTAAGTGGTTAACGCGTCGGACTAGTAATCTCATGATCGCTAGCCGCATGGGTTCAAACCTCGTCATGCATGGGCAAGGCGTTTTTTCTTAGAGCAAGACACTTTACATTCATTGCTCAGTACTGGTTGGTTCCAGGAACGGATTCGAAAGTGTGTCTCTAAGCTTATAGCTTCCTACACAATCGAACTAAAATAACTTCTGTTTAAACCAAACACTAGGTGGTGAAATTACATTTTCACTTCCAAACTGAAACAGAAGCAGTAAAATGTTCAATTTTAAAAAAGGAATGATAAAAGACAAGATTAAACATATTTGTATTGTGTTGATATGACTCGAGTCGTCACATAAAGCCCGTGTATACTTTTCATTTACACTAAAGTGTATGGTTTATGTGGCTTACAGGATATACAGATAGTTTTCATTCGAGCATTTATCATTGGTATTTTGTTAAACATGACGTAAAGCACCATTACACCACGTGACTTAAGTTTGGTCCTTATCCTAAGGAACGTTTAAAATTCTGTTTCCAATACGGCGGCAGATCGAACTCGTAACCCAAATAATTTTAGAGAATCAGCACTAACATTCTACCATATGATCTTTTTATTTTATATAAATGTTAAATACTCAAGATATTACTAAACCTTAGATTTAAACATGCAACTTATTTTGGTGATTTCAGTTTTAGTGTCGATCCAAAGATCCGGCACTCGGCCTGGTCCTTGGTGATTGGCGGGATGTTCACATGGGTGGCTATCTACGGCACCAACCAGGCTCAGGTACAGAGGGCGTGCTCATGTTCTACATTAAAGGAGGCGCAGATGTAAGTTACACTACTGAACTATTTTACCCCCAGTTTTATGTCCTTTTACTCCTTTTTGGTCTAGCACAGTTTTTAGACATGTCACATATATTATAAAACAGGCATGATATCTATTTGGCTTTATAATATTTTGGCTATTTTATGTACATGTACATTTTCTTATATATTGTACATATACAGCTTGTTGATACAGTGATAAGCATACTCTTGCAAGTAATTGCTTGCAGTGATAAAGCTATGGTATGTCCATAGAGATGACTACGAAAATAAATACAAACAGTTTTTATATTAAAGCTGCATGGGACGAGCCAAATTATTTCAAGAGAATTAAACTTGGGGAATATGTACTAAAATTTTAAGAAAAGTAAAAATATTAAAGATTCAAGTGATAATTTATATCTTGTGTGCAATTAATGACTAATTTTTGCAGTATTTATCACCATATTTCTACTGCGTTAGTAACGCAGTAGGGGCTATTTTTGCATATTTTGACCTCTTTTTGGTAATTTACGTGGATTATAAGTGCCGATTGCAATGTGTCAATTACATTCTTTGTTCACTTAACAATATTTTACTTTTTATTACATTTTCAAAATTTTCATGAAAATTAGGACATATCTGAAGGCGTGCTGCTTTTAAGGTAAAATCAAATATATGTATATACTTATAATTAGAACATATAAGAACGGCAGTACTTCACATACGCATAGCATCATACGGGCTATTTCTTTTACAAGAAATAATGCACAATGCCACCAAGTACAGTATTCGCTATGTTAAAGATGTTTTCCCAAATCTGGGAGAGCAGTATAAAAAGGGGCATTCAGCAACTAGCTATATAGATATGTCGTTATTTTAATATTCAGTAAACTTTTTTTTACTCATATCCGTAAATGGTTCGTTGCAGTTCTTTTTACTCATATCTCTTTATTAGAGTTAGTTTATATCACATTAAAGCAAGTTTAAATCACGTTTTAAATTTTCTCAAGGTTGATGGGTCCATTTTAGCTGAAGGGGCTTATTTTTTTCTCCCATTTTATAACAATTCAGACTCCGAATTATACATGTATATATTGTTAAAAAAAAAATTTAATCGAAATGCCTAGTTTAGTCAAGATCTACGGAATTTCTACGGAAGCACAGATGTGACATTAGGATTTTTTTTATAATCTCGTGACACCGATCTAACTTTTTTTAAATAAACGGCAGTTATATTGATGTTGCTGTAGATATGAAGAAAAAAAAATTGAATACATGTGTATATATAACCGACATTATAAAGTTTCTAAAGCGTGTTATATACAAATGTACATGTATATAACCATGACAAAATCATTAAAATTTGTTTATCGTACATGTTCAAAAATCATTTTCACATGCGTTAAAGTAAAAGAGAATTTGATTTTCCCAAGGGAAATATCAATGTACAGATGTATTGCATATTTTTTATCGTGAGATTTGCCATGGAAATTCAGAAGTAGAGGGAACGCGGAGCTTTAAGTTTAGTTTCCGATGAAAAAAAAAACTCCTTTAAAATACTTTTTGTAGCAAATGTGATTAAATGATGCATTATCGTACTGACTTGTGTAAATGCTATAAATAAAAATAAATGCTAAGAACATAAAAAAGAACAGGTAAATCATTGATAAATAAGTACAGTAAAACCTGTGAACAAAGGTCATCAAAGGGAGAGGCTGGACCTTTTAGACAACTGAGTGGTCTTTATTTTGGGGTTACTCTGTTAAATTGTATCAATTAAGCGTAAGCGACCTTTATTTACAGGGTGGCCTTTATTCAGAGGTGACCTTGAACACAGGTTTCACTGTAAATAGACTACATGCCACGTTCTTTTTTTAAAAAAGTTAAAAACCTTTAAATGTGAAATTAATGCTGTATAAAATTACGTAATTAAATAAACATATCTTGCGGTTTTAACACACATAAATAAGGTTTAAATATTTGTCCTTGACCCTCTCTTAAGTACTTAAACACTTGAATATCATTTGTACATCAATCAAACTTTTACCAAGAAGTAGCTACGCACTTAATGAAAAATAAATCATATGATATGATAGATTTACAAGGACCTCACATAGACGCTTCCCGTTGAAGACATTGTTGTTGTTCTTGTTGTTATTGTTGTTGTTGTTGTTTTGTTTTGTTTTTTCGTAAAAAATCATCAAGCCAGGCTATAGAAAGTATTCCGCTCATTCTACATGCCTCACTTTTATCGAGATTCTGTTCAGAAAATAAACGTTAAAGATATAGGGAACCACTGTTGATTAAATTCAGTAAAAATCTAAAAACCCTTATAGATCGGCTAAGTATTTAAAATGATAAAAATATTCTTAAAGTGGGGTGGTACGGGTGGTACGGGGGTCACAAGTGTATTCATCTTATTAGGTATGTTCAGTGATGAATTTCTTATATGTAGTGTTTGTGTGTGAAATGTCCTGGGGATTTCATAGAAGCCCTTTTCTCATAGCTAGTATGTTTATTCCGTAATTCAAGTTTATATCTGTCTGTCTGTGTTTACGCCAATCGTTGTTTACTTCCTTGTCGGATAAAGATATGTTTTAGATTGAAAGTAATTCATACCGCAACGTATATTAACTTTGATCTATCATACGCCCCGTTTGTTTGTGTGCCAAGGTTTCATTCATATGTTCCTACCTTGCCACTCTTTGTTTTCCTTGTACTTTTATACAGTAAAATAATGTGTGTAAGAACAAAGCACCTTCCTCACTCACAAAAAAGCTTAAACAGTAAATTATATAGGTTCATTTCAACTTACAGCGTTTATCATTTTCTTTGTTTAATAAAAAAAACCAAAAAAACTAAAGGTCTATAGCTTGAGGTCTTCAGCGTAGCCGTTTTTATACTGTGACTAGACGCAACTGCTGACATGAGAAAAATTGTTTAAAAATGCGGAATGTACAGTTTAGGAAGCCAGAACTAAGTCGCATATAAAGTCCGTAAATTAATTAGTTAAGTTAGTTACATTTGAACCTTTAAACAAGATTGTTCAGTTCCAGAGTGTGCAGCTTAGTACTACCCAGTACAAAACCCGCCAACTCTGTGTTACAGACCATACTGTCATAAAGTACTAACATGCATGCATACTAGGTGTCAATCGTCATACTATAACGAAAGTAACTTAAATGTGAACATCCAATAAATACAAATAATTCAAATTTATATCCTAATGTTTTTGCACTGACTAATTTTTTAAAGTGCATTTTAATGGTGCGCTTAAATTTTCTAATCATTGGGTTCGAATGTGCAAAATTGTCAAATCTATATATAAGCCGCGTCTTGACAAAACCAACATAGTGGGTTTGCGACTAGCATGGATCCAGACCAGCCTGCGCATTCGCGCAGTCTGATCAGGATCCATGCTGTTCGCTTACAAACCCTATAACAAGTAGAAGAACAGCATGGATCCTGATCAGACTGCGCGGATGCGCAGGCTTGTCTGGATCCATGCTTGTCGCAAACGCATTATGTTGGTTTTGTCGTGACAAGGCTCATATATGTCGTAAGTTTTAAGTTGTAATTACCCACTTGATATGCTTGAATAAATAAACATTATTATTATTAAATGCCATTAAAATTCATGTATTCTTTGATGTTCAATTATATGTACTTTTAAAATAATAATGTGTCTACAATTTTAGAGGGTAAAAATGACCTACATCAATAAAATTAATCTTTCCATAGTGAAATTTGCGACAGGATTTGGTAAAAAAAAATCAGGTAAAAGTTCATCCCTTCAGAAATGCCAGACTTCTTATACACAAAAGAGTATGACTCTATTACTTACACATAAAAAAGACAATAAGAAAAGGCCATAATATTTCCCGAAAATAATCAAATCCCCACACGATTTTTCGCAAGGGTACTTCATGACAATTGTTCACTGAAAATTTTATGGAAATCCCATAGAAAACGTAACAAGAGAAAAGAACGTTTTTCACTCACTTAAAGGCCCATTACTCCTCGGAAATGCTATCATTTATTTCTAAATAACGTTTAATTGTTGGTATCTTGTTACTGTTTTCAGAAATACTTATTCACGAACTATCTTTTAGTTCTTTTGTTCTGTTGGTAAGTGGTATACTTATAGAGAACTTGTTATATTGAAGTCAAATCAAAAAATTATTTGGATTTCTGAGGCATTATGAGCCTTTGAAATTCTCCAAAATCTACTTCATGAAACTCAATGAACATCTTATTAAATAATCATATTTAGTTAAAATAAGTGCAACGTTAAATAATAAATCTATTCATGGTTTTAAGCGGGTTTAATTACCCAACAATTTATTTGATAGTACTGTCGCTACAGCTTGTCACCGGTTTCATACAATTAACTTAAAACATATATGTCAGACTAATGAATATCATCCTCAAACTTTTAGGTTACAATCATGTACAATTTACACGTGAAACTATTCAATTCAAAGCAATTTATTGACACAGTTCAATGATAACGGTTTTTTGTTATATTTCATTGATACTGTTCCACGTATTATAATCCTGTATGAAATAATATTTGTACTGGCTATTTAGATAATTATGTTTCAAAAAAATCTATTCCATTCTTGCGGAATCCTACACTTCCGGTTTTCCGTGTAAGCATATAGCTGTTCCGTCAGTATGACTTACACGTAACATCCTTAAGTACCTTCTATACGTTGAAATTAAGGAATTATGTGACGAAAAAATCGCCTCGAGACGAATAAGAAAGAAAAACAACCTTATCCGAAATAATCTTAATTATGAATTATCATCTTAATACTTTTCGACATTTTTACAGAGCCATGTGGATCAACTTTCCTGGGTTGTGTTTAATCTTGTACCTTGGTTGTTTTATCGGAGTTGCCCTGTACAGTTTATACAGAACATGTGACCCCCTTAAATATGATCTCATCACAGCGACAGATCAGGTATTTTGTACTAACTTTTTTTTATTTAAATATATAATTTATCAAAAACATCTTATAACCTAGGCATATTTGCATTTCTTAGTTACCGACATGTGCAATAGCGAATAGGTGAATGATCGAAAACGCAAAAACAGAAACAAGACAATGTCGCCGTTCATCTTTTACCAAATTAGGAAAAACCACGATATATTGATGTCTCAAATGTGTTATAGATATGTAGTGTATGTGTTTGCCGAAAATCTGGCATTCGAGAATCGTTACATAACACAAATAAGACGCCATTGATTCCGGATCGGTTGTGAGGAAAACTTGATCGGGCATTGGTTTATCACTTAAAATGCCAACTAAATCATCACATACTCATATAACTATTTCTTGTTTGTTTTGCATGAAAAAAGTAAAGTGTTTGACAAATTTTATGAACAAAATAGTGTACAGTCTTAAAATTGTATATTTCAGTTGCTGCCTTTATTTGTAATGGATGTTTTAGGAGATATTCACGGAGTCCCAGGATTGTTTGTAGCTTCTTTATTCAGCGGTGCTTTAAGGTATGGACATATAGAATAAGATTTACATGTCTTATACAGGGGAGCGGTGCCCTAGTGGTTAAGGTGTTTGTCTCTCAACCCATGGATCATGGGTTTGAGCCCTAATCGGGTCACGGCCATGTTTCTTTATATGACACCAGTACTGGTTGCTTCCAGGAAGCGGACTCTTAAGTTATTAATATAAGTTGCAAGAATTTGCTTCGCAATCGAGCTCAAATGAATATGTTTAAACCAAATTTGCCCGCCCTGTTATTCATTTCAGTGTTGTTTTATATATCTGATCATTCGGGATCATTGATACCAGTGCATGCTGTGTTGAAATTAAATATCGCTCAAGCCGGTGTTAGAGGGCGTGAAACATGGGGCACTATACATGATATCTTATGAGAAGACTCAATTAAACCGAGTCTGTAATTTTCATACAATTGTGTTGTTTTCATTGTTTTTGGAGGATCTCCCCGTTTTTCAGATTAGATTTTTCCCTCTTCTTTTTTGCTCTATAAATCTTGTTTCGCAGATCTTTTTCTTCATAAAACGTGCTCAAATTGATGTTATCGTGATAATTGACCCAGTCAGTTCCTCCGAACACGAACACATTTATACATAAATATAAATGTTGTTGTTGTCATTTTTCAGCACCCTGTCATCGGGTCTCAACTCTATTGCCGCATGTATATTACAAGACGTTATCAGGGCTTATTTTGTTAAAGACATGACAGAGTCTCGGGCAACATGGATATCGAGAATCATTGGTAAATATCATTGACACACATGGTAAATACTGCATGTTTGTTACGCCAAGTTTCATTGGACGATCGTAGTGTTTATATGGCTAATATACACGACTTTTGCAAAGTTATCACTAATTGGGCCATAGAACCTGTTCAAAATCTTCATAACTACAGTCTGAGTAAAGTCAATATATACTAATATTCATAATACGTGTATATTATTAGTTATAAAGATCGTTGACATGTTATATGGTCGTATATAAACGGCAGGCGAGGGTTATATTACAAACAGCCGTTTACATACGACCATATAACCTGTCAACAATCTTTATAACGAATTTATAATACAGCAAGCATCATTTTTAGAGAAAAAAGTAAGATTTCTTCATGAATCGACAGCAGCCGTGTATATAAAACTATATAAACGTCACGATTATCCAACGAAAGATGACGTTACAAATGTGCAGTATTATAAAGTTTCTAATAAAAATATCGTTTTTGTTAAAAATTGTTACAATATTTTTCTATTGAAATAATATTGAGATGTGTGTCATATTGTCTTTGGATTAAATTAATCAGAAGATCATATTTTTATGGATACAGTCTTTGGCTTATTATTAAAATGTAGAGCGAAACATACAGCCTTGACAATTTAAACTGTTTTTATGCTCTAGAAAACCTCATATTCAAGCATGACACTTTTCAATTAATATGATAGTATCTATTTACATTGATATTTCTGCCACCTTTACCACCTCCAACACAGACCATAGAAAAAACATTTTTTTTGTTTACTTCCAGCTGTTATATTTGGCGTTATATGTCTGGGGCTTACATATGTTGCATCAAAACTTGGCGGTGTCCTACAGGTAAGTATTTACACTGAATCACTTATTTTGGTACAAACAAATTCAAAAACATAATAACATATCGCATTATCCTTGAATGAGGTTATCGCTAAAATAATCTGGGGATGTGATTTATTATACTCTTGATTTAAAATGAAATACATCTTTCTCCTTGAATAAAATGAAAGAAAAAGAAAACACTGACTGATCAAGTAACTGTAACAATAAAGCCAAATGCACTGTTGTACAAATGAGCCGCGGCATGACAAAACCAACATAGTGCGTTTGTGACCAGCATGGATCCAGACCAGCCTGCGCATCCGCGCAGTCTGATCAGGATCCATGCTGTCCGCTTACAAACCCTATTAAAAGTAAAGAAACTGATAACGAACAGCATGGATCATGATCAGACTGCGCCGCGGATGCGCAGGCTGGTCTGGATCCATGCTGGTCGCAAACGCATTATGTTGGTTTTGTCATGACGCGGCTCATGTTATTAATGTACTTATATCTAGACATGTGTAATGTTGCATGCCTCCAGATGAGCCGGAATATTTCAAGAAAATTAAACTTGAGAATTGTAGGATTTTAAGAAAATTTTAAAAAATCAAAATTCAAATATTTATCCACATGTTATGTATTAAAGAATGATCACCGTATTTCTACTGCGTGACTAATGCTGTTAGAGATATTTTAGCATATTTTGACCTCCTTTTGGTAATTTATGTGGTTTGTTTATGCCATTTGCAATGTGTAAATTACTTTCTTTGTTCCTTTCGTAATATATTTACTTTAAAATATATTTTCAAAATTTTCACGAAAATTAACATGAATCTGGAGACATGCTGTTCAAATGCTAAAGAAAAAAGTATCTTTCATAATGGCGGAAGTAAGTTTAGTAAAATCAGTAAGAAAGTAATAACACGTTATAAAATTGATAAATTTATTTACGCTATGACATTTAAGTTTTGCCTTTTATTACCCATTCGCATTTTTACTTCGCTTCCTGTTTAAACCCGCAGTGTCAAGGTCGTTTGAATAAATCCGATTACATATTTCAATCATTCTCATTCACGTTTTGCGATGGCGAATTGCAATCTCAATAAACATGTTATTTAAATATAAGATTACCTCCGTAACATTTGTAATTTACCCGTACTCAACAAGTAAAAAGTTGAGCAGACGAACTGTGCGCGTGAATGTCTTAATATTTGCGCTAAGACCTACTTTCAACATTTGAAATTAGAAGTACACATACACTTAACATCATAGACCTACAATAGGCTACAATAACATGCTTACATATGGAAAGGCCGACGTACCACCATATGAAATGCTTTCAACGGATGATATATTAGTAATAGAAAGAGCACCGAAACACGAGGCTATCTGATTTGTACGAGGGGGCGTAGCCCCCGAGTATAAATCAGATTGCCGAGTGTTTTGGTGTTCTTTCTATTTTGTATCATAGTCAAACATGACAGCACGTTCAATGTTGTCATAATATGAAACCCCGGGAAAAAATAACCAATGAACGAGCATTTGAATATGATAGTTCTGCCCCTTTCCCTTTCTCTGCCGTCACAATATGTAAACCCCGGCAAAAATGAACCAATCCACGGGCATTATCTGGAGTGCGGGTAACTGATACCTGCACTCCAGTTACCGCACTGTGCATGTATATGTATACGATTTAACTCTGACACTTTTTCAACAGAAAGGTCCCCAAACTATGATACAATTAATTGATAAATCATGTTACCCAGTGTGTTATAACCCAATTTCATACTGCACATCGTTTTCATTAGGATATTGCACGTTTGTAACGTTAATTTTCATTGGACAATCAAAAGGGCTGTTGTACAATGAAAAATTAAAGTAACAATCATTGATGTACAATCAATGAAAATTTACGTTACAAACGTGCAAATATCATAAAGAACATGAAGAAACGATTGTTTTGCCCTATAGTGTTAGTAAAGTTAAAAAAATAATTTTACATTTCAGGCGGCGTTATCCCTTTTCGGAATGATAGGTGGTCCGTTGTTAGGGTTATTTACCTTGGGTATGATATTCCCTTGGGCAAATACAGCGGTAAGATATACTTTAATATTCTATTTATAAGTATGCTGTTTTTGTTTGGGGATTCTGCTTTTACCGTTTGTACTGTCATTCTGTTATATGGAAATTGAATGGTACTTCTTCATTGCTCAATCACATACGATTTGTACTTAGTTAGTAGCCAAACCAAAACTTGAATCATTTTATCCCTCTTAAATGAAACATATCTCTGAAAAGTTTGAATTGAATGTTTAGCCATATTGTACCAAACGATTTATCTCATTATGTAATGTCTTATCTGAAACTGTTTTGTCAATTGTTTCCGCCCATGCTTAATAATGCTCAATAACACATTCCGAAAACGTGCAGAAAAAATCGCCTGCTAAAGTATAAGTCTCCATAATATTAATATTTATGATACAGTTGAACATGTATATGTATTTTGATACCTTTTATTTGATAGTTATTAATATGGCATAGCTAAGTGCAAATATATCAAATATTATACTTTTTAAGTTATTTAGTGTTGTATTTTCTTGACCGGAAAGAAGATCCAAAGCGAGACAAAATCTGCCAATTCATAAACCGAAAGGTAGACAAATACATGTACGTATATATCACATTATTATGTTGAATTATCTACATAGATCAAAATTATATCACTTTTCTTTGCCGACTACATTTCAGAATTATTTATATAGACTTATCTTTTTCAGGGGGCATATGCAGGGCTTATTATTGGTCTCATATTTATGTTTTGGATCGGTATTGGAGCGTATGTAACTCAGGTATCCAAGACAATCCCAAAATCACCTGTTTCTGTTATCGGATGTAACTGGAACCTAACAACGACAGCTTCTACGACGATCAACGGTACAGTGTCAGCGATGATGTCAACTGTGACGTCAACAGTTGCGACAACTTCAAACGTCACAGAAGCTGTGACCACTGCTGCTGAACACGAGTAAGCGATTTTAGATATTTGGAAATATTTCAAAGTTCCAAAAGCGAAAGCTATTATGTTTGGAAAGAATATATGTATTAGATTATATATTATATATTTGGAATGTAAAAAGATTTATGAAAGCATTAGATGACATACTGGAAAAAGAGGTTGGTCATAAACACCAAATCTTTTTTATTTATCATTTATTTTATTGTACGCAATAATTAAAGAGAGTCATATTTTTCCAAAAGATGAAAATGTAAATACACATTATGTTTGCTGGCAATAATTATCTTTTAATAACATCTTCATTTCAGTGGCGGTCCTTTCTTTCCACTGTATTCGCTGTCGTATCTATGGTATAGCGCAACTGCCGTTCTTGTTGTGGTAGGAATTGGACTAATTGTTAGTTTTATAACGGGTAAGTATGGTGTCAAATACGCTCAACAAATCTTATTGCTGTGCATTTATATATATGGTGTCTTATGTAGATCAATATTGACAGGAACATGCTGGAATTTTCAAACGCGTTGCAGTTGAGAGAGATGATATTATATTCAATTTATCTAATTTCATTAGAAACACAAATTAACACTCAAACCCAATAAATGTAAATGATGATGCGTGAAAAGTTAATGTTGCAAATTAAAGATGTCAATGATTATTATACCACGTATATCCATCCTGATATGATCTCAGCAGTTGTTAAATAGATTTGACAAACTTTTACATAATTTCGTATGCATTAATCATTCTTCTATCAAATTAAAGTCAAATGACTTTGTGGTACGCCAACCACTATGATGTTCTAATTTTGTTTATGAAAATCATTTTTTATGAATCACCTAAAGACTAATTGCATCGATTTTATTAAAAGTAGATTTCTATGTATCTTTTATAATTTATTTACTTTCCCATTCATAAAAGGTAAAATCTTTTCTTTTCTTTTGTTTTTTGTTAACATTCATGTACATATAGCACTGACAGAATCAGCATTTGGACATGTCATGCTTGTATCACTATTTAATTTACTGGTGATTACGTTTGATCTTCTTTTATAAAGAAACGACCTTTACCTTAAACGATTGACACCCATTGAATCGGGAGCACATGATTTATTTGCTTGACCCGCGGCATAACGCTTGGCATAAAGATATCATACGTTAACGCTTTGCAATTTAAGTTACCCCAATAATCATACTCATGGATGTATATTTCTTTGTCATTTTAAAACCCAAACATAATAAGCTACGAACATTACTATCTAAGTACTGCCTAAGCTAAAATATTTATCAGAACATTCTTGCAATAGTATGGTGATGTGTTATGTTTAAAGGCACACTATGCTTCAGAAACAAAAAAGTTTTTATTTCTTTAGAAATGACAGACATGAGTTTTATCATGTTTAAATAATGGTTTTAGAGCATGTTACCTGAAGAAAGAAGTCCTTAACATAAAATTATTTGTCATAAAAATAACAAAATGTAAACAAAGTAGTATTTTGACTTCCATACATAATACCAAATCAGTATAACATTAACATTATGAATTGCTAAAACGCAACATAAGCAAAAGATGGTGCAGATAATTGGCCAGTGGGTTAATTTTTTTCTGGACATAAAAAAGGCTTTTGAGAAATAAAAATAAAAACATTTCTGAGGCAGAATGGGCCTTTAAGATCTGTAATAAAACATATATCTACATTATATTTTCCTCTATTTCAGGTGCTAATAAAGGCTGCGATGCAGATCCTAAATTAATGATACCATTATTCGACATTATGTTCCCATTTTTACCTGAGAAAATCTTGAAACCTTTGAGATTTGGAGTGAGATACGATACAGTAAGTAATTCAATATTTAAGTTTACTTTGAACGGCTGATCGTATTCAAGTTTTTTTTCATTTTTCTAATTATCACTTAAATATTTGTGATTTTACTATAAAGTTTTACCATTATTGTGCGGATCTGAGTGGTAAACGGTATAACCATGGTAAATGGTTTGCGCCTTGTTTGTAGGTGTTCATGTGTTGGGTAGAAAAAGGTATAGATAGGAAATATTAACAGTACTAATATTAACAACAACAAAACTGGCAAAGATAATTATGCCCATTAGGTCAGATATTTGTCTGTTCGTTCCGCCACACGATAGACTGTAAATAGTTTAAATTAGCTAATATATTCTAGAACAGAAGCAGATCGTTTGATGGAAACTGAGGACTTCTAAAGTGTGGTCCGCCGCGAAATTACCCTCACAATTAAGTGTTGTCCTCTGCGGTTTTGCACTCACAATGTCGCTGGTTAGGGACAAGGGCTTTACTGTGTAGCATATACACGAGTGTTGATATAAAGTTTGAAATGACTTTATTTTACCCGGTTCTTTATTAAGTCTGAGATATGTTAGGACAAATGATTTTAACAATAAACTTTTGTGAACTGTGAACTGTAGTCTGGATCATCGGGGTCACTACGCTTGTATCTGGGCATTAACAACGCATTTTATAGAATACAAATAACCGGTATGAAGTTAGCACATACATAATACAAATATCGTAAATGTTCAAGGAAGAAAAATGAGCATGTTTGTAAAAAGTATATAAGTTCTTTGTTATTAAAGTTGTTTTAGTATAAAATCATATTTATTAAACTTGCCAAAAAGCAAGCCTAAGTCTTCATTTAGATACCATTTATTGTTATTTATTTATTGAAGAACATATTCTTATACACTTTATGAATTTAATTGTTATTTTGCGCATGTAAATGTTTGGAAAATAGCAACAAAAATGTTAATTTATATTAGTATGCGAAACCCAGTGGGGTAAGTATGATTAACTTGTCATCAGTCTGTTTGTGGCTGACTTATATACCTCACTCATAACGTTGCTTTATTTGTTAATTCTTCCATAATTGTAATGAAATGTTTCAATGAAGCACAACATTTCCTATTAGGCACCCTTTCTCGTTTCTGTTTATCTTACCGCTCCACATGACAGTTTCATTCAATAATTGATATCTTTGGTCTGCTAGTATCTCTACCTCTACCTATGGGTGCGGTTACAGGTTGGTTGGGTCAAACTCACGGTCACGAATGATAAAAATAGATTTTCCTTAATGCAATGTAATGTTTTAACATTGTGAAAGCGACGCCGGGGGACACCAATGTTCTTGTTGTCTTCTATGTAGAAACTTAGAGTACATTTACCAAAACCGGTTTCATTCGTTTAATTATATTTAGTATGATAATTGCAATATATTCTTTTGCTTATTTACACACAGATTGGCAAATTCTTCTTCGCATTTTCAACTGAATGAATAACCACAACTTTCTTCACTCTATATTTTTTCGTACACATTTTATGCCTTACAATTAAAGAAAGACTGAACAGAAAACTTCAATTTTACTCTCTTAATTTATTAAATTGCTTGATTCTATATTGTGTACTTAAAATCAGCGAAAAATACAAGGCACTTTACAGGACATGCTTTTTAGCTCACCTGTCACAAAGTGACAGGGTGAGCTTTTGTGATCACTTTTCGTCCGGCGTCCGTCCGTCCGTCCGTCCGTCATCCGTAAACTTTTACTTTAAATGACATCTCCTCATAAACCACTAAGCCAATTTCAGCCAAACTTCAAAGGAATTTTCCTTTGGTGGTCACCTTTGAAAATTGTTCAAAGAATTTAATTCCATGCAGAACTCTTTAACCCAAAGAGCTAGAGCTTAGATATTTGGCATGAAACATCTTCTAATGGATGTCTACCAAGTTTGTTCAAATAAGAGCCCTGGGGTCAAAATTGGCCCCGCCCCGGGGGTCATTCATTTTCCTTTTATGTGTATAACAAAAACTTAAAAAATCTTCTTTGAAAAAACTCAAATAGCTAGAGTTTAGATATTAAGCACGAAGCATCTTCTAGTGAGTGTCTACAAAGTTTGTTCAAATAAAAGCCCTGGGGTCAAAATTGGCCCCGCCCCGGGGGACATTGATTTTCCTTATATGTGTATAGCAAAAACTTAAAAATCTTCTTTGAAAAAACCCGAATAGCTAGAGTTTAGATATTAAGCATGAAACATTTTCTAGTAAGTGTCTACAAAGATTGTTCAAATAAAAGCCCTTGGGTCAAAACTGGCCCTGCCCCAGGTGTGTCATTGTTTTTAACTATATGTGTAAAGAAAAAACTTGACCAGCTAGACCTTAGATGTTTAGCATGAAACCTCTTCTAATGGGTGTCTACCAAGTTTGTTCAAATAAAAGCCCTGGGGTTTAAACTGGCCCCGCTCCGGGGTCCTATATACAGGTGAGCGACTTCAGGGCCATCATGGCCCTCTTGTTTGACTAAAACGGTTGTTTGTGTTAAAGCTCTTCTTATATTGAGTTCAATTTTCTAAATTGATTCATTGGATTATTTTATATTTGTTAAATTAATTTCACTGTCTTGCCATGTCTATGGGTTTTCTTTAAAGATGTCTTCATCACTTTGAGGATTAATCCAAATGTAATTGATAAAAGAAAACTAAATTAATTAGCACAATAATGTACGGAAAGTAATTGAGAAATTTAAACCGTCAGTTATTCTGTTATTTTTTGTTGATGAAAACAATTTTATACTTTATTCAGATATTGAAACTGGTTATATCTTTTGTATATTTTGTTTTTGTCTAAAAGATAATGGATCTGTGGGTATAGAGAGATAGTATCTAATTACAGATATATTTGTTATAATTACCCCTCACTATTTTTGTAATGTAAGTTTCCCATGAGTCAATGGTAGTTCCTCTTACGTACCATGTGTTTAAAAAATTTGTACTGTTACATAGGTAACAGTACCTTTTCACAGTAAAAATCTGAAAAATAAAAACCTATAGAAACAGTGTCCCATTAAGTACATGTATTTGTTAAAGCTGCTATTTTATCACCATATTTCAACTGCGTTACTAACGCAGTAAGGGCTGTTTTTGCATATGTTGACCACATTTTGGTTATTTTCTTGGATTGTAAGTGCCGATTGCAATATGCAATTACTATTTTTGTTCACTGCACAATATTTTACTTTCAAATACATTTATAATTTTTTATGAAAATAAACATGAATCTGGAGGCGTCCTGCTTTAAGGGTAATAAAGTTAATAACACATAGGTTTGTGAATAACAGTATATAAATAACACATGGGTTTGTGGGTAACAGTAAAAATATCATCCCGAGGAAATACTGTTACCCGAGGTGTAGCCGAGGGTAACAGTATTTTTATATTATTACCCCGAACAAATACTGTGATCATATAAAATTGTCAACTAATAATCTAACTGTAACAAACATAAACCAAGAGTAACAATAACCAAACTGTCCTTACCTTTTAAGTTTTAAGTGTACTTGAGATTTTTTTTTATTCTTTTTGTAAAAGCAAGTGATGATATCTACCAGTCATAAACATACAATAAGCTGTGTTTTATTTAGAAAACAAAATACAAACCCATTATACGGTTATGATCAGTGGAATCTGATCCTTCTGTATCCAGAATATTCGTCGTAAGTTTTTTTCACCTATGTGTTTTCAAAATAACGATGATATCCTATGTATGTCCAGCATATTTGTAATGTTTCACTAATTAAAATTGTTAAATGATCCTTTACTCGTCTGAATGTTCCAGTTAGACACATTCACGTTGCAATTACTTCCGGTGAAAACGGATGTTTACTTTTGGACTATTCAACAAAAAGACATTTTATACGCGAAAAGCACTCCAGGGTGCAAGCAACTAAATTTAATGGGTGGTCATATTAACGCTAGTGATGCCATATTGTGGTTAACTTCGAAAATAATAATGAATCGAGAGAAAATTGACGGCCATTTTATTTTATTTTATTTAGAAAATAGACCACGTGACCAGATTTTATACTGTTAAAAAGTACTGTTACCCCTGTAACAGTATAAATTTCTTAGTCACGTGGTACACTTGCATTAACAGTAAGAATAACTCCCAGAGGCCTATGGGAAATAACATTACGAAAAAAGTGAGGGGTAATAACAAACAATGTTTGTAACAGCAAAATTATCATCCCCAGTAAAAATACTAACAGTATTTTCCTCGGGATGATATTTTTACTGTTACCCACAAACCTATGTTTTAATTATAAACTGTTGTTGTAATTAGTTCTTCAATAAGGTTAACGTCAACTATTATCATCATTATATTCATTATCATCATTATTATTATTTTGATCATAACCATCATCATCAGAACTATTATCATCATAATTATCTTTAACCTGGTGGACAGTGAAGTTTGTAAAGGTGTATCTTCTATACATGTATTATATACTATACTTATTCCTTTCTGTGATTGGTTAAAGGTGTTCAATAGTTCAACTTATCCGCTCCCGTGATAAATTGTAAACTAATATTTCTTGGGAAAAAATGTGTAGTAAAGTGTTTGATATACTCATACTTACTTGTGATGAGGAAAACAAGATATATGTCTTAATAGATGAGGAAATCAATATATATGTTTTAATTGATGAGGAAAACAAGATATATGTCTTAATTGATGGGGAAAACAAGATGTATGTCTTAATTGCTGAGGGAAACAAGATGTATGCCTTAATTGATGAGAAAAACAAGATATATGTCTTAATTGATGAGGAAAACAAGATGTTTGCCTTACATACCTTAATCTAAAAAAATCCTCATTAGATTATCTTGACATGTACGTTGTTTACAGCTACTGCACGTTAATTGACGACTTTGAAATATCTAAAGGATACTAATAAACCGTGCTATTGTCTGTTTACAACCGGACCTTTTCTATTGTTATAATTTTATTTCAAGAAAAAAAACGCAAGGAAAAACAAACTGGTTGTATTAACCGTACGTCTTCTTGCACATCTGTCGTTAGTATAAAGAAGAAGTTTATGACATTTTATTTGTTTTAGTTACTACTGCATCAAATTATGAATATTTTTGTTGCAGATGGTAGTTGATGAAAGGGATATACGTCATACAGCAGACGAGCTTGAAGAAGGGGATGTGAACAAGTACTTCGACATCGAGCTAGACACAAGAGCAGACGACAACAAGAAGAAAGCAAGTAATGGTAACCTTGGTAATGGAGATGTACAAGTGAATGGTGACATTGTTAAAGCAGACGAGACTATTGAAAATGAAATAGATCACCCATATTCCAAACAAAACAGTGCTTATGTCGCGGACACTGCAACTGGTGATAATGAATCAACTCGACTATAATAGGCTTTTTGATCGCGAGAAAAATATGTATTTTGATAAGTGATTGTTGTTTTATGTACATTGTACTGAATTATATGCACATTGCACAGTGGATGTTTTCAAGACGAATTGAGGTACTATTTGATGAAATGGACGTTCATTTTCATTTGTAACCATACATCTTTTTACAAAAACTTTGCCGCAAAATGTCCCTTTGTGTGTGTGTGTGGGGGGGGGGGGTAGAAAATTATCACAATACATGTTTATGTTTTTATGTTTATTTAAAAATCACACGTCTTAATGAAACGACCTCTTGGCATGATAGGGAGGGATAGCCTATTAGCTGAACTGTCTGCACCTCATTCCCGGGACTGTATCTTATAGGACTACATAAATAACAATTTCTCCCACCAAAGTTTACCACTACATTAACTGAGTTTAAATTTTCAATCTTGTGCTAAAGGAAATGTTGTATATCAAACTTTTAGTCATTTCATCATTCCAGTGTTGACTTTGTCTCAGTTTTGCCTTTCTCGTCAACATGTAATCCAAGAAAATTATATGAGCCGCGTCATGACAAAACCAACATAGTGCGTTTGCGATCAGCATGGATCCAGACCACCCTGCGCATCTTGCTGTTCGCTATCAGTTTCTCTACTTGTAATAGAGTTGGTAAGCGAACAGCATGGATCCTGATCAGACTGCGCGGATGCGCAGGCTGGTCTGGATCCATGCTGGTCGCTAATGCATTATATTGGTTTTGTCGTGACGCGGCTCATATAAAAACGTGTTCCGTATTATGATTTTTGATATGAATTCCAAACATGTGTCCCAATGAACACATATCACGTGTATATAGTGTTTAACTGATTCATTTCATTTTACATTTTCGTATAATTGTCCTTTTAGTTCTGTACAGTTTGTCTATTCCGTGATAATTTGGCATAATATGGAATTTCGTCCGGATATCCATTTGTAATCCTTAACTTTGCGGTTATGGGATTTCTTGAGATAATTTTAATATATTGTACGTGCTTCGAGACAGGTCTATAAAATTATTTTGTACAGTCCTCTTGAATGCAACATCTTACAGTTGAGCGCATTCGAGTTGCATTTTACTTGTTGTTCGTAGAGCACTATAGATTGAGGGTCTGCAAATATGTATACATCTGGGTATAAAGTAACTTTGAAAAAGTTTATATTTGCACAAAAAACGTTTGTATTTTTATATTTAACTATATAATGTATTTGGAATGCGTATGAAACATTTTTTTCATTTTACGGACTATCACGGTTATAAACATTGAAAGGTTTTATATGGGTCATTCAGATGTTGAAGGCATTATTTTACAATATGGGGGGGGGCGCGGCGCGAGGATAGCACAACTTGTAAATCTTATATGTGTTTTAGTTTTATATTTTTTGATAGTGTTTATTTGTTTTGTACATAAATATAAGAAAATAAAGTGACAATGAAAATAGTGTTGTTTTGGTGTATATACATGTATTGTTATTTTATAGGTATGAAATTTGATATACTTTTTGGAACCTTTCGTTTAGTTTAAACATGTTAATGTTCAGTTCGTATATGGGAATTTTTCACAGTATTCACAGGAAAGTATATAATTATATATTTATATACATGTTTATTATTTTGTACATGTAAAACAATCATTTCAGTATTTGACAAGAGATGTCTAGTTTGACTAATTCAAAATTATAATAATTAAAACACAGTAAAGAAAGACAAAACTATGGAAACTCAATGAATTAAATGTATTTTCTTTTTAGTTTACGAGATAAATAGACTTTCTTCTTCTTCTTCTTTTTCTTCTTCTTAAACAATATCAAGAAAAACTTAAACATTCAATTTGTTTCACACCGAATACCGTGCATGTCAATAAAAGTAAAACATAGGAAATATATCAACAAAAATGTCCTGGTTGTAATGAAAGAAACATAAATCTGAAATAAATCTTTGTAACACAGATGGTTAGAAAATAACATCTTTAAGCCACAAAGATGGTAAGGAAATAACACTTTTAAGCCACAAAGATGATAAGAAAATAACACTTTTTAAGCCACAAAGATTATAGTTTTTTAAGCCACAAAGATTATAAGAAAATAACACCTTGTAAACCTAAGAAAATAACTCTTTTTAAGTCACAAAGATGGTAAGAAAATAACACATTTTAAGCCACAAGTGCCAATTACATTTAAAATATAGACAACCATTTTTTAGACAAATGATATTATGATCGACTGGAACTGGTAGTCTCTTTTATGGAGGTGAACTCAACCAGAAAACAACACGGGGGCTAAACGCTCCTAGACAAGACGCGCTCCAGGCCGTACCAGGAGCACCCCGACTACACGATGAGTCCTATATAGGACACAATTTACACCATCTTAATATCTATACATTTAGATGTAGAACATGCATGCAGTTGTTTAAAATGTAAGTAGAAAAAAAAATATATATATACAAAATGTTATTACAATTCTATATACCTTAGTACAATTTGATTTACAGGGTGTTTACTTATTAATTTATTGTTATGTAGCATATATATGTATATTATAATGTTAATATAAATACTGTCATTTTTAGAAACAATTTCACAGTTATCATGCATATCATTCAGCACAGGGTGTAAAAAATATGTATAAAGTAATCTGGTAGGCACGAAGCTAAGTTTGACTATACAACTATCCATAAACACGTGAATTTTTTTTTGAAGTAGTTCAAAAGTTATCTGAGCACGATTGGAATGAGAACATTTAGTAGAACGTTTGAACTAACACTATAATCAACCACGTGATTTTTTTTTTTTGAAGTAGTTCAAAAAGTTCTTGAGCACTTGGAAAGAGAAGATTTAGTAGAACGTTGACTAAAGCCCCAGTCACATTAGAGCTTACGACCAGTGAAGACCAAAAGTTCACGATCACCAGTGACCTCTGGTCCGCGGACAATCTTTAAAACGTCTTACGACGGTCATCGGTGATCTTTGACAGTCGCAGGTTATCTTATATAGGTCCCACGACCAATTTCAGTCGTAGAGAGGTTTTTTGAGCCTGCACAAAAACCTCCTTGCGATCAAACAGGCGCTAGTGATCTTTTAGGTCTTAAGGCTGTTCGCAGACGAGGGTCGTCCGGAAGTGCGACAATCTTACGACAGTCTTTTACAAATTGCCACTAGTCACTGATAATCTTAAGTAGTCTTTAGTAAATCGTGTGAATGGTCGTACGACAAGTTGTAGGTGATCGCATGTTATGTCACGGGTAGTCGTAAGTAATCCCAGGCAATCTTGAGACCATCGAACGTTTACTTATGACCTGTCGTGCGACAATTTATATGTATATAGTAAAGTTCATAGTGTAATTCCCTTCTTAAAAATGAACAGATAGCAATAGTCATTTGACCAATTTATTTCGTCATTTCATCATTTCACAAGAATATTTACTGTATTTGTAAATAAGAAAAAACAAGCAATTATCATAGTATTGCAAGCAATCCATAAGTCCCCTACCGGTAAGAACCCCAGCAACATTCTGATGGGCCATTGGCCATTCAATTTTACCAGTGAATGAATGACATGAATGAACTTAAATCTTTTGAGTTCTAAGTTTGTCTATATCACAGTAATGTGTCAAGTTTCCCTGCCTAGTAAGGAAAGTATGTTTATACAACCTTGTCATATTATTACAATGTGGGATTTTAAAGTAAATCCTATAAGAAATGAAGAAGTTGGAGTGAAAAATACCAATTTCTCGAAAAAAATCTAAGTTCAAGGGGGACATAATTCTGGAAATAGTCTTGCTAGAGTATTTAACCTTCTCAAAAATGTTAAGTGATAATAAGAAACATATATATGAAGTTTGAAGTAGATACATTAGAAAATAAAGAAGTTATTTAAAAAAGACAACATTTTTTTCCTAAAAATTCTAAGTTCAAGGGAGGTAATACTGATAATTTATGTGCTAGAGTTGTAAACCTTGTCATATATGATGTGGTTGAGGAACAGAAACTTATATCTAAAGTTTAAAGTAAACACCATAAGAAATTAAGATCTTACAGCGAAAAAGCTGAAAAATTTGAATAAGAAATCTTGAAATTCAGGCTATTTGTTGCCATAGCAACCAGATTTTTCAACACAGGAAGAAAAGAAAAAGATGTGCATAATCTCCAGACTGTCATCTACCCATATTTCAAGTTTCAAAAAAATATTTTCAGTACTTTTTGGGTTTTCACTGGATCCAGTTTATGTGTTAAATTTGCCATATTTTCAGACTATTTGTTGCCATAGCAACCAGAATTTTCAACATAGGAAGAAAAGAAAAAGATGTGCATAATCTCCAGACTGCCATCTACCTATATTTGAAGTTTCATAAAAATATTTTCAGTACTTTTTGAGTTATCACTGGATCCAGTTTATGTGTTAAATTTGCCATATTTTCAGACTATTTGTTGCCATAGCAACCAGAATTTTCAACATAGGAAGAAAAAAAGACGTGCATAATCTCTATACTGCCATCTATCCATATATCAAGTTTCATAAAAATATTTTCAGTACTTTTTGCGTTATCGCGGGATCCAGATTTGTGGACGGACGGACTGACGGACTGACAGACAGACAGATGGACGGAGGGTAAACCTAAAGTCCCCTCCGGTTAAACCGGTAGGGGACTAACAAGCAATAATGTTTACCAATCTATTTAAATCTATATATGTATCTACATTTTACGACCGCTTTTGTGCTAATATTTTTAGGCACTGTGCCTTGTGCATTATGCCCGGCTCACTCTTAATAGCAGACACTGTGGAGGTACATTCCTTTTCGGTTTGGGATGAGGGGATTCCACTGGTGGGCAGGGGGTGGAGTTTCCGAACGGTGACTGGACTGCGTTTGCAACGCTAAGGCAATGCTATGCTTTAAGGCTTCAGAGGGACGTTTGAAATATTTTTTAGTTCATGAATGAGGTAAAAAAGACAATGCAGGATGTATATAAAGCATACATCAAAAACACCAATCTATATGTAAATTAAAATATTTTCAAACTTCAGCCGGACAACCAATCAATATCCTGAACCCTAGGTTGTTTAAGCATTAAAGGAAAAACGTTAAATGAAAAGTTATAACCTGCCCGTTTCTTCTTCCAAAGCTACTCTTGAGAAGCAGCCATCGCCCCATGATTTCTGTCTAAAAGTATTTTTTCGGTAAAGGCAGTTTTGGCTTCTTGACTTCATATTTAAAAGCGCTGTGTACGGTGTAATGTCATTTAATCATTTAAATGAAGAGTCAACAGGAAAAAACACAAAATCTGTCAACTTTCAAAATTGTAATAATATCACATTCAGAAATGTTAAATTCTTCCCAAATTTCTTCGTGATGGAATGTGAGCTCTATCATTCATAAGATTGTGTATACAGTAACTTATGAAAGAACATGAATTATGCCATTTACTCGTGCTTTTTTTGCCTACAGTAAGGCCAAATATATTGAGTAAGAAATATTTGGATTTCCCTATGTAATTGTCGGAGAAAAAAATCGTTTACGCATATTAAATCTTCACCTTAAACAGAGAAAACTGCCTGTGGTCTAAGTCAGATAGATCGCTAGTACCAGTTGGATGTGAGATTTATCAACTCGCTTCGCTCGTTGATAAATCTCACATCGTATTCATGATCTATCCTATACATATCTTATACCTTTACGTTGTCAAATCATATGTTATGTAAACTCCTCTGTAAATATCGAAGAACTTGAGACATTTCTTGTTTTTAAATACTTGAATCAACTTAGCCCTTGAGACAATACCAACATACCGTTACAATTGGACTTCAAGGGGCGACACACACTAATGCTATTTATGCTATAAATATGTTGTCTAGCAACTTGCCAAATTTCCCGACTGTGAGTTGGACAGATTACTTTCCTCATGTCCTTGCTCTACATGGCTCCGGCTAATGTCAACAACATGGTTTAAAAGATCAATGACCTGGCCCGAACGATAAGAATCTTAGTTGTACTTCCACTCATGAATACGTAATTTTTCCGTTCAAGCCTTACTAGTTTATAGTGATTTGTACAAACTGCACAACGAACCTTTCCAATCTTTTCCTGGGGTGACAGGTTCTTTAAAGATTCGATTAACGTGTCAAATTTCTCATCTAACATGGATTCAATGAGATCAGAAATTGGCTGCAGATCAAGGGAATCGATCTTGTTGCTCTGTAATTTCTTCTTACTCATATTGGATAATATGATTATGGATAAGATAAATGTTATCTTTTACATTTTGTGGTATTCGACCTGTAGTTTATACAAAACTTCCGGGTCGTTTCGTTTAGAGATAACGTGCAACAGAGCATTAAATTATGTATACATGTATTTTAAATAAATTCTCTGTGTGTAAACACTAAATAAAACTGAAATTAAGTGATCCGTAACATTGCATGACATTACACAAATATTAATTTATTCATATTTTCGTTGTAAATATTTCTGGATAAATGAACAGGTGTGTGTTCCTTAACGTGTGTTTATATACAGAATTTAAATCTATGATAAGGTGTTTACTTAAACATTCGGTGTTGATTATATTTATTTCAGTTTGTGTGAGATAACGTAATGCAAGGGTTGTTTTTAAGGATCTAATCACAGTTAAGTGGCATGTACATTTACTTTTTCCAGTCTTTTTACTGTTGGAGTAAACTGAGTGTTATATCAACATTGTAAACATTGCCTCAATGAAAGGGTGTCACTTTTGATGTTATTTAATCTTAGGTTTGATAAAAAAAAAAACTATTCTCACGTCCAAAGATATGGAGACAGAGCAGCACCGCTTGACTTTATTAATTGAAGTATTCTGAGTTGGATACATAACAAGTATCTGTTTTTTTAAGGTATATCCATATATACGTATGTAACGCCAAATTAAACGACTCAGTACAACATATTAAGATCAACACAACTGAATTTAACCAAATTCAACAAATCAGCAAACTTGCGAGTTTTTGAATTAACATCATTTAAAGGAAGGCTCTCTCTAAGTGTATTGTGTTGTGTCAATGGGGTTGCCGTCTGCGTAGAACAAAACAGTTTCAATTTTTCATAATATGTAAATGCATTCACACTAAATTTAACATCTACAGAGCACCAAACTCACAGAAACTGTTTCCCTAAAAGTTTTGCTTTACAGGGATTGTACTGTACTATGATTTATTGTGTTACACTCTGTTATGTCTTAATAACTTTTTTGCTTTACCATTTCTGTTTTGATATATTGTGTAAAGTTAATGGCATGATAATTTTTGCAGGTTGAAATGAAACTTAATTCGATTGGCGTTCAACATCCATGATTCTAAAATGGTGTACTTAGATGATTGCTCGCCGGGCTTTACAATGCCTTTGAGTTTTGTCTTAAACTGGTTTGTCTTGTTCGTGTTTGTTTTCCTTCTACGAAAGTAAGTAAATTTCGAGTTAGTGAGCAATTTATCCTGACGGCATGAATTCAAAATTACTTGATCAATTTTATAGAATATAGTTCTTTATTTTTATTTTATTTTTTAATCTAATTTTTTCATATAACTTAAAAGTAATTTCATGTCAATATGTATCTTTTATTAAGTTCCTGCAATTTGTGCATAAAATTCTAAGGACTATTTTTTTAAAAACATTCTATAGCATAAAGGTGTAAAATAAATCTACATAACTTTAAATTACTTATAAGCTCAAGTCATCATCAAGGATGTGTGTGTCCGTGCTTGTGTGCGTGCATGCGTGCGCCGGTTTACCTAAACTGGCGAGGTGAGTGTGTCAACTTAACCAATGCAAAGTGATGTTTAACCTACATAATGAGGTAGGAAAAGTGCTACATCGGAAATTTACCTTCTCTCCTAGAGTCATGAATTAGGTTTAAGAGAAAGACAGTAGGTTTAAGAACGCATTAGGGTAAGTTTAAGGTGAGATTAGGGTTAGAGTCAGAAGTCAGTTGAACAAAGAACAAGTACTTTACACTGCTAAAAACATGTATGTGTGCGTACGCTTGTGCGTATGTGTCTGTCTGTTCGTATGTATACGTTCTACTAGTATACTCTTCAATTTTCATAAAAACAGATATTTGTACAAATACAATGACGCTTGCAATATCTTAGTTCATTTGGACAAATGTCAAGGTCACTGTGATCATGAAACGTTGTTCTGATGAATATTTTCATAACAATTACAATTAAAACTTTTCAAAATGCATACTACGTGCGCTGGTGTTTGTTGTTGTTTTCATTGTTGTTATTGTTATTTTAAAGTTTATATATATGAAAAACATGGTCAAATTTTCTTTATTTCAGGTCTTACAAAGTAAAAAGTCTAAGGAAAAACGTCTGGAACGGTGACTATCATTGTCTTAATGATGATGATGATAATGATGATATATTAAACGTTTCTGTGAACAAAGAGGTTTGTGTAGACATAGAACATTCCAACACAGTGGATTCTCATTCTGATGATAAAAAACAATGTAAAGAAGGCGATGTGCTTCATATTTGAAATAAAACTTTCATTTTAAACTCGGAAACATTCGGCATGTTCCGGCATTTACAGTGCAAGTTAGCATCAAAACAAAAAAATGACAATGAGATGTGTTTATCAACTTACCTTTTTCGTAATAGATTGTACCTGCAACCAATACTGATCAGAAAGGACTGTTGATAGATGAATTGAATATCTTTTTTGATAATTACATAGATTGTAAATCCTGTTATCACCAATTTGCCTGCATACATCAAAAAAATAACTTCTTCAGTTTTATGTGTATTTTACAAAAATTGATTATAACGTTCTAAATATGCAGAAACATTTAAAGACGTTTGCTACAGTTTTCAAACAGACATAATTAACTGTTTAACGGAATTTTAATTTATTGAAATTACTAGGCCTTAGAATATGCTATAGCAGAAACGTGATAAGCGAGAAAAGGCGGGGCGCCCTCTTTTATTTCAGTTATCTGCCTTTGAATTTGATGTACCGGTATTTGCATATTCTATGAACTTAAATTCTATCAAATAGTTTTAAGTCTCCTAACGGATAAACAGGAGGATAGTTTAGGTTTACCCTCTGTTTTTCTGTCCATTCGTCCGTCAGTCTTTCCGTCCGTCAACAAAAACTGTATCCCATGATAACGCAAAAAGTGCTAAAAATATTTTTTATGAAACTTGAAATATGAGTAGATTGCAGTCTATCACTCAAATTATATGTGAGAATTTCAATAATCTAGCTTGACTGTTTAAAGTATTATGGCCCCTTTGAACTTAGATCTAGAAATTATTATATTTTAATCAAACTTCTTCATTTCCTAAAGGATTTACTTCAAACCCCCATATCATAATAATAAATTATGATAAGTTTCATAAATCTAGCGTCCGTATTTTCATAATTATCTCCCCCTTTAAACTTTATTTTTCCATATTTATTTATGGTGTTCAAACCGGTAGGTGCCTTTTGTATCGCTTGCTATACTTTGATATTTGCTTGTTACATCTGCTCTGTATGACAACTGTTGCAAGCGTCTTTAAAACGCATTTTTAACCATTTACAATTGCTCCAAATGCAGTTTGTTGATGTTATTATTTAGATGTCGAAGAAGAATATCATTTTACTAGAATATAAAAATGTTAAAACAAAATCATTCAAATTACAAACAGTAAAATGGAACTTATGATTTCATTACAAAAGTGTTTGTACCTTGGAAATGAATAACAACAAACTAGTACTTGCATTATAAAATATAATATATATTTTTCATATAGAACCAATAAACTGTATATATAGATATATTTATTATATTCTTGTAAATGAAATATTGAGAAATATTGATGAAATAAAATGTGTATTTTCATTTTCCGTATATTCACTGTAAAACATTTATTTTGCACTGCAGTGAAACATATTTTCCGTATTTTCACTGGTGTCTTGCCGGACTACTTTTTTCTAAATTCAGCAGACACACAAAATAAAAGGGAAAATCTTCGAAATGTAATGTCAAAAAAATGTAAATAATAAACAGAAAATTCATTTTTTTATAAGTACAGGATTCATTTTCATCTTGTGGTAAGAAAATTATCATATTTCACTTAAAATATTTATTTTCATACCACTCTATGAAAATAAATCATATATTCAAAGAAAAAACTTGAATATCCATTATTTATACGATTTATTTGTAATTGATGGGTAAATAATAAAGCACACAAATCAAACGTGATTTCGATTCAGTTTTATTAAAAGCAATGGTGGGGAAATTACAGTATAAGAGAAAGATGCTGACCGCGTGATCTAATGGAATAATGGAATTTACCCTAGATCGTATAGAACATTTGAGCCGCGTCACGACAAAACCAACATAGTGCGTTTGCGACAGCATGATCCAGACCAGCCTGCGCCGCGCAGTCTGATCAGGATCCATGCTGTTCGCTATCAGTTACTCTACTTGTAATAGGGCTGGTAAGCGAACAGCATGGATCCTGATCAAACTGCGCGGATGCGCAGGCTGGTCTGGATCCATGCTGGTTGCAAACCCATTATGTTGGTTTTGTCGTCACGTGGCTCATTTCATTTCTATTTCATACAATTTGCACTGAACCTCGAAACGACTACAAATAACAAAAGTATGTGATTGCTTGCATAACTGTTATACATATAATGTACTAAGTGTTATATTGAATCGTTAAATATTTACACAGAATGCTCCATACAAACTTTGCTATTTGTGTCTTTTTTAATTTCAGTTAATGTTTCCAAGTATTGTTGATTGTCGAAGGTGTTTAAATTAGCCTCAGATTCAGTAAGAAAACGGACGTTCCTGCAGCAAATGTTTCCTCATTACTCCAATTTGCTGTTTTAATCAGGTCTGAATGTCAATATCTACTTGCAGACACCTGTTCCTATGCTTCTAGGAAGGTAAGTTTTGACTTATTATATATTGTTATGATTAAGACAATATTTTAAAATTTGTTCAAGGGAAGTTTAAACGAAATTTCTCACAAAAAAAGGAGTGTTTAGCGGTGCATAAAATCTGAAAATTCTATATCGACCTTGCTCTTTTTTTAAAAATGTAACATTGTTTTTCCAGGAGATCTTGGAGTCGACAATATTTCTTTGGTGCATTTATATAGAATATTCTGTATGTACATGTAAATGCTATAGCGCTAAAGAAAATTATCATTATAATTGTGTCATAAGACAAAACTTGTAAGAGATTATTTTTTATTTTTCAAAAAGGAAAACGGAGAGAATGTTGTACCGGCAATGTTAATCATATACATTTTAAGAAAAAATCTTAATCTCTAATGAATGTTATTTAGATCATTTTGAAATATTGTTACAAGTGAAAAGCATACGTTTATTACATCAAAAAAATAAAATGTTTGCTTTCGTAACATTTGCATTTTATTTATTATCAGCGAATGAAATAATTGCATCAGTTCAAACGGATATTTTATCGAAAGAATGATTTGTTTTCTGAAATTATGTGTCCACTTGCTGCTAATATAGATTTTGGACTGTCTGCAAAAGTGCAAGGTGTGCTACGAAGTGTAACATTCACGTCACGTGTGCAGGTTTCTTCTATAATAAACAAAGTCAAATGTGCAAAGGGGTTCGAGAAGTTTTGAAAAACACCACCGGATGCATTAGTATGCCAAATACTGCTTATTACACTTCAGGTAATAGATCAAAATCATTATACTAGTGAATCTTCTTTTCTATAAGTGACTCTGTTTCGTTCTGAATTGGCGTTCTGAACTAAATTACACTTCTGATACAAACGTTTACAAATACATGTACATGTATATCAAAAATTATTTTTTCAAGAAGCTATTACATAGATAAACTACCAAGCAATTTTGCTAAGAAATTATTACTATTTTTGACAAGAAATCATAGCTTTCCAAATGAAAAAGCACGATGGCAGAATATACCTACTAAAGACCGTAAATGTAATATTTGTAACGATATCGGCGATGTATTTCATTATCTTTTTGTATGTCTAGAATTTTAAAATGATACAAAAATATTTATAGATAGGTTTTACAACTTGTAGACCTAGTATATTTATGTTTGTAAGCCTGCTCACATCGAAAAATACAGATAAAACTAAAGAATCTTAGTATTTTTGTATGAAAATAATGCAACATTTTAGAACCTGATTTTTTTAACTAGATAATTTAAGATAATGTCTGTTTAAATTACCATATGCCAGATATTAGTTATGACCTTTTTGTGTCTTTAATGATTTGTAGTTTTGTAATATTTATCACTTTTCACTTACATATATATAAACAGCTCAATTTTATAGCTTATACGAATGTGTTTTGTGCTGTTCTTGGAAATTTCAATAGCCGTTTTCTATACAATTGTGTTATGTTATGTGATTCTATGTATTTATTCATTAATGTGTGTCGCAAGTTTC